ACCTTCTTAGGGTACTTAAGCTATGGTTTCTACTCCAGTTACTACTCCACTTGCACAACCAGCTAGGGATGGAGGACATGCGGGTAGAAGAAATCCTAGAGGGGGAGGCCAGGCCCATTGTTATGCTTTCATTGGTAAGACTAAGGTTGTTGCTTCAGATGTTGTTATCATAGGTATTATATCGGCTTGTCATAGAGATACATTAGTTTTATTTTGTCTGCTTTTCACTTATTCTTATGTGTCATCCTATTCTTTTTCATATTTGGATATGTCTCGTGATTCATTGAGTACCCTTGTTTATGTGTCTACGCCTGTTGGGGATTCTATTGTTGTAGACCGTGTCTATCATTCTTGTTTGGTCACTATCGGTGGTTATGAGACTAGGGTTGACCTTTTGTTACTCAATATGGTGGATTATGATGTGATTTTGGGAATGGATTGGTTGTCACCATAACACACTATTCTTAATTGTTACACCAAGACTGTGACAATGGCTATGCTAGGATTGCCGAGGTTGGAGTAGAGTGGTACATTGGGTTATGTTCCTAGTAGGGTGGTGTTTTTTCTGAAGGCACAACGAATGGTTGAGAAGGGGTGCTTGGCATACTTAGCCTTTGTGAGGGATGTTAGTGCTGATACTCATACCATTGAGTCAGTTTCGGTAGTGAGAGAGTTTCCAGATGTGTTTCCAGCAGACCTACCAGGCATGCCATGCGATAGGGATATTGATTTTGGTATTGGAGCACTCACCCCATATCTATTCCACCATATTGCATGGCACTAGTGCAATTGAAGGAATTAAAGGAACAACTTCAGGAGTTGCTTGATAAGGTTTTCATCAGACTGAGTATTTCACCTTGGGGTGCTCCAGTTCTATTTGTGAATAAGAAAGACGGCTCTACGAGGATGTGTATTGACTACAGACAACCGAACACGGTTACTATCAAGAAACATTACTCACTACCGTGTATTAATGATGTATTGATTAACTTCAGGTGCTACGGTATTCTCAAAGATTGATCTGAGATCGAGGTATCATTAGTTGAAGATTCGGGCTTCAGGTATTCCAAATACGGCTTTCAAGACCCGCTACGGTCACTATGAGTTTTTAGTGATGTCTTTTGGGATGACTAATGCCCAGCAACCTTTATGCACTTGATGAACATCGTGTTTCATCCCTATCTTGATTCCTTCGTCGTTATGTTCATTAATGATATATTGGTGTATTATCGCAGCCGGGAGGATCTTCATCAGTATTTGAGGATCGTGCTCCACACCTTGAGGAAGAAGCAGTATGATAAATTATCCAAGTGTGCATTTTGGTTAGACTCTATGGAATTCTTAGTCCACATGGTGTTCAGTGAGGGGATTAAGGTGGGTCCAAAGAAGATTGATTTAATGCAGAGTTGGCCGAAGCCTTCTACCTCTACGGAGATCTAGAGTTTTCTAGGCTTGGCTGGGTATTATCGCTGTTCCGTGGAGGGTTTCTCATCTATCACAACTCCTTTTGACTAGATTGACTCAGAAAGGTGCCCGTTTAGGTGGTCCGATGAGTGTGAGGAGAGCATTCAGAAGCTCAAGACTATCTTGAATATAGCTCCAATTCTAGTTTTGCCTTCAGTATCGGGTTCTTATACAGGCTAATGTGATGCTTCATAGATTGGCATTGGGTATGTGTTGATGCAGGAGGGTAGAGTGATTGCTTATGCTTCGCGTCAGTTGAAGCCCCATGAGAAAAATCACCCAGTGCATGATTTAGAGTTAGCAGCCATTGTTCACGCGCTGAATATTTTGAGGCACTATATTAACAACGTGTCATGTGAAGTGTTCACGGAGCCTAGGAGTCTACAACACCTATTAAAGAAAAAGGATTTGACCTTGAGGCAACGGAGGTGGTTAGAACTACTAAAGGACTATGATATCACCATTATTTATCATTTCGGGAAGGTCGATGTGGTGGCCGACACTTTGAGTAGGAAGGATGAGAGCATGGGTAGTCTTGCATTTATCCCAGTTGGGGAGAGACCGTTAGCTTTGTATGTTCAAGATTTGGCCAATAGGTTCGTGAAGTTGGATGTTTTGAAGCATAGACGTGTTCTTGCTTGCGTGGTTTCACAGTTCTCTTTTTTTGAGCGCATCAAGGCATTTTAATATGATGATCCCCACATACTTGTCCTTAAGTACATGATGCATCACAGTGATGCCAAGGAGGTGACTATTGTGATGATGGGATATTGAGACTTCAGGTCCGGATTTGTGTGCCCAATATGGATGGGTTGCGGGAGATGATTCTTGGGGAGGACCGTAGTTTGCGGTATTCTGTTCATCCAGGCACCGTGAAGATGTACCATGATTTGAAGAAGCACTAATGGTGGATAAGAATGAAGAAAGATTATGTGGAGTATGTGGCTCAGTTTTTGAACTGTCAGCAGGTTAAGTACGAGCACTAGATACCGGGTGGTTTGCTTCAAAGGCTTAATATTCCTAAGCGGAAGTGGAAGCGTATCACTATGGATTTTGTAGTTGGACTTCTACGTACCTTGAGGAGATTTGATGCAGTGTGGGTCATTATGGACATACTGACCAAGTATGCACACTTCATTCCAGTCATGACTACCCATTCTTCAGACTAGTTGGATTGGATTTATCTTGGTGAGATTGTTCTCCTTCATGGTGTGCCAGTGTCTATTATCTTCGATCGGGACATGCAATTCACATCACATTTTTGGAGAGCTGTGTAGTGTTAGTTAGGCATACAGGTCGACCTTCTCTCTCTGTCTCTCTCTCTGTCTCTCTCTATCTCTATCTTCTCGCACAACTGATTCCCCTCTGCACATTGTCAGTCGTTGGCCCTCTAGTGACTTCAGGTAAGTAGATATATCTCTCTCTTTTTCTTTTTCTCCTCTTCTCTTCTTTTCTATCCCCTTCCCCCTTTTTCTTTCTCTCGACCTTTTGCAGACTGTCTGCGTTCTTCTTCTTCTTCGACACCTATTATTCTTCTATTTTGTCCCTATTTTTTTCTTGTGATTTTTTTGCTTTCTTCCTCGTCTACACCATTTCCCCAGTCCATCGCTATCTATCATTCTTGTAGCGGAGACGACAACCATCAACCTTTGGTCCATGGTACTTCTCTGTTTGTTTCAAGTACTTAGCAGCGACTCTCAGAGTCATGCGTGAGGCATCCTGCCTTCCTTCATTCCGGTTCTTGGCCGCCTCTGGACGAAACATATATAATGGACCTGGACACTCCCACACACCAGACAAGCAGATTTGTTGGACTAAATCATTAACCAGGTACTATTTCTCCTTCATTCAATCCTCACCGACTTTATTATTGTGTTACCGTTGTTATTCGTTGCCTTGATCATTTTGTGGTTAGTATTGAATTGATATTTTTAGCTTCATTATCATTACTTATTGTGGCCTTGTTGGCCTGATTTTGTGATACCTTTACCTTGTCGGGCCTACCATCACTCTTTTGTTGTGTTATATTGTGGTATAATATTGGGTTGTTAGTTGTTTACTTCGTTGCTATTTAGCCTGTTTAGTTACTTTGCCACTTTGAAATTTGTTATTTCGCTTGCTAGTATTTGTTTTCTTGCCCTTTTCTTGATTGTTATATTTACTTCAGATTGCTTACCTTTTTCAGTGCCTTAGTTGAGTCACTTACACTATCTTGCATGCGTATATGTACACTTGTACATTCTTAGCTTTACTTGTAAGTACTGCCTTAAGATATTAGTGTTAGTCTTTATTTTTAGTTTTACGGTTTACTTGTAGTAGTGGTCATACTAGATATGTATTCCCTTAGACTATAGTGGCTGCGGTGAATGATAATAGAGTAAGGTAGTGTCCTCAAGTTGGTGGG